TACATTTGAGGCTGAGCTATGTGCATTGGACACGACTAGAATGGAGTCAGAATGGTTGTATGGGTTGTTGATGCAACTACCCATTGTAAGCAAGCCATTACCTCCAATACCAGTGCATTGTGATAGTCAAACCACAATTGCAAAAATAAGAAGTCAAAAGTTCAATCAGAAAACAAAAAGACACATCCAAGTTAGACTAAAGTCTATAAGGGAATTAGTGTCTGATAAGGTTATGGCCGTTGACTTCGTTAATTCTAAAGACAATTTGGCTGATCCTTTGACTAAAGGACTTGATCTATCCTTAGTGCAAAAATCCAGGTTAGGGATGGGACTGAATAACCCATATGAGATGCATCTGCAGTAGCAACCCAACCTACCAAGTGGAGATTCCACAAGAAAGGTTCAATGTGGTATAAACAAGCTGTTGAATGTATCATTGTGCACCTAAATTACAAGACTGATACTTTATATATAAAGTATGATGAGTTCTTTCCCTAGCATACCTGGAAGGTGTTGTTAACTGCAAGTATAGTAAGAGTTTATCTCTGAATGGGGTCGAGTTTTCTAAACAAGATGTAAGCAGTGCATATTTGGAGATGCCCAACTAAATGAGTATAGTTGTTGGGCCGCAACTAGGGGAAAGGGTTATTCCTTGAAGATACTCATGAACATGATCGTGACATATGACCTAATGTGTCAACCCTAAAGATCAGAACATAGCCTATAAGTTGTTGTTACTAATGAACGTCATTACACTCACGACATGAATTCGAGGTTTAGATCCATTCATTTCGGTGATGACAGAAGTTGGATAACTTAGGTAGTGGTTCAAACCGGAAGATACCATTACTAAAAGCAACTTATGATGACCCTGATAATTATTATCTAAGGATTTGTGGGGGATTGTTGTAATAAACATATATTACATGTGATAGGAGAATTGTATTATGTGGAATCCTTAGATAATGGTGTGTTTAATGTTACATGTAGAAATGTCTTTGAGATGGAGAATGAAACTCAAGGTTTCATTACTAGTTTCATTAATTTGGCCTTAATGAAGGCATTAATGGAACACCTCTTCATTGAATGAAAGCATGCCTTATGAACACTATATAAATAGTGCATGCATGCTAATGGGAAGAACACACCAACAAAGTGAAGTAGAAAAGAAAAAGATCATTTATATATACATATATTCTCTTTTATCTCCCACAAGAAGTCTAAGAAAAATTAAGGGTTCTTGGCGACTGAGCTTCTGATCGAGGTGAGTGTGTAAGATAGTGCAGTCTTCACACTTTGATCCGTCTTATCTTGGGAGAAAAGGCGTAGTACTCGTTGCAGAGTATCGGGGCGTCTGTTTCTTCAGGGCAAACAGATTATTTCTGTGATTCGGCTATATGTGTTCTATAACAATATAGAACTGCCAGTTAAGTTATTTTATTTTATAATAAAGTTATTTATTTACTAATAGAAATCTGGTTTCATCTCACGTTCCCGTGGTTGAATGTTTGTGGTTTCTATTTTCAAATTCTTAATACGTATATGTGTTGAACTCGTTCTTAAAATTCGCCTTTTACATTTCATTATTTTTTCAACAACTCGAACACATGACCTACCGGTCATAGATGAAACGTCTTACCACCAAGCAGAAAACATAAAACTTGTATGAAAATTAATGAAGCTCAGTACAAGCGTCTAACCAAACGCTGCTTTACAAGTATTACATGAAATGTGGTAGTCTTTGGACCAATGATGAGTTATAGAAATATGCCCTTCTTCTTCATTTTCTTTTATCTTTTTCTTTTTCCAAAAAAAACTAGATACATATTATTGGGGTAAATGTGTTATCAAAATGAGTTGAGTAGCTTTTGCTTGCGCAACGAGCTGGTTTAGCCAACTTCTTTAACAAACAGATAAAAGCGGCTCGTGGCTCGTTTAGGTTTCTAAGAATTTGGCTCATCTCGGCTCGATTTCTTATAAATAAAAAATACTAAACAAGCTATTCGCGAACAACTTTTATATTCCCTATATTTTTTAGCCAAGTGTTTAACATTCATATAATGGTATTCCCATTGTTTTGCTGAACGATATGTTCTGTAAATTTGGCTGAAAACTAACTTATAACTAATAATTTAATTGAGAGCTTATAAGTTAATTTTAAACTTATAATTGTTAACTTGTGACTGATGGCTGAAAGGTTAGTTAAAATAATAAAAATATTTGATAGAAGGTTTATTTATTTATTTTCTATAAACTACGTAAACAAGTATTATGAGATTAATTGAGGTTAAAAAAAAAATACCTTTCTACCAAATCAAATTTATTTGAATACAAGAAGTCTATAAGTTAATTACTGAAGATATAAGTTAGTTTATGATATTTACCCAATACAATGGATTGTTAGGTGTAGGGTTGCAAGCGAGTCGAGCCGAGTCGAATATTGACCTTATCGAGGATTGATTTTTTTTTTTTAGCTGCTCGACTCGATAAGAAAATACAATAGCTCGAGTTCAGCTCGAGCTCGACTCGAAATCAAATGCTCGAGCTCGTCTCGAAAAATTTTAAGTGAAATTACCAATAAGTACTTGTGTTATACTATTTAAATAATTATACATAATGGGTTTTTAGTAATTTAATACATATATCGAGCAACTTGACGAGCTGCTCGACAATGCAAAACATGGGCTCGAGCCCGATTCGAGTTCGGTCAAACTCGAGTTCTAGAGCCGTTCGACTGGTTTGCAGCGTACTTAGGTGTATAGTCTTAGATATACGATTTGATGTTTGTGAAGAAGCACATGAATTCAAGAGCTACTAATTTATCAGGTGGGATAAATATATTTTCTTCTGATCACTAATTAATTGCACCAATTACGGACTAGAAGTTGTTATAGTAATCCTACAATCCTATTCCTACTAGCTTATTTAGCAACTTTTTCCCTAGAAAAAGCCAATAATTAGTTTCTGGTTAGCATTTGACTTCAATAAATCTGGGGTTTGGATTGTTCCTTCTCGTCTTTTATTCCCTTTGCACCACCAAAAAAAAAAAAAAAAGTTTATGGTTTAAAATTCAAACTTATAGCACACACTATGACACTAGCCTGTGAAGAGGGACAATACTTTAATACTCCCTTATATTTCTATTATTTGTCGTTTTGAGAAGTCAACACGTTAATTAAGAAATTTTTTTCTTACAATATTAATTCTATTTAATGGATGTTATGTGAAACAATGGAGATGAGATATGAAAAGACTGTGTATTAGATGGAGGGTTAAAACTGGAAAAATATGAATTAAATAATCAAAACGACATTTATTTAATCAATGATCAATTAAGCCAGGATGACAAATAATAAAAATAGGAGGGAGTAATTTTTTTTTTTTTGGAACGACATATTTTATAACAAAAACAAATATTTATGTACAACTAGATATTAGCCAGAATAAGTCAAACACAATCAAGCCGAATCTAGCGAGAGGATTACACACATAACTGCATCAGAGAAATAGCCACACTAACTAACCCAATACAAAATTATTCTTTTTATTTTGGGTTATTTATATTTTTATATTAATTGAATAATAATTATATTTTATTAACCATTATGTCATATAATAATTATTATTAAAATTAACTATTTATATTTTACAATAAATAATATATAAGTTACATAAGCATAAGAAAAATATATTGTAGAACTTTTTTCCTTATTTTATTTTCTAAAATTAATATTATATTGTTTTTATCTCATTAAGCAATAATTTTTTAAATCAATTAAAATCGCATAATCAATTGATATAATAGTTTATTTGACGGTGGAACAAAAATTGATATAATAGTAAACTTAATATTTTTTAAGCTAATTAATTTAGTCATGATCCATTAAAATTATAAGAAAATATATTATTCATTACATTTAAAATTATTAAGTTACATATTCAAACATTTGAAATATAGTACCATTATATAACTAATAAATTTACTATTATATGCCTGCATATAATACTATAATACATTATTTACATTTATCCATTATACATGTTTTGACTATGTATGTTGCAATTTTAATGCTTGAAAACATTTATTTTATTTATTTTATTTTATTTTTTCCTTAAGAGAACCCGTGAGAGTAAAGGCTGCATAGCATTGTCGTACATTTGTGTTGGTTTTCTCTACAGTCAATGACATTATGAAGGCCCATTTAATAATATTTCAGACTTCCTAGTCCACTTGCGTACCATTTAACAATTTTTGAAAAAAAAAATTGTGCTTTTTGGATATTTAAATTGAAAAAAAAAAATATTTTGGGAAAAAAATGTACTAGTTTAATATAATGGTATGGTCTAATTTGAAAAGGTTGTAAAATATGTATAGTTTTTACTTATTTAATAAATATTCTTTGGTAATTTATCATTTATAATCAATTTTATTACATAAATTTCAATTCAATTATAGTGTTGTTTAACTTGAAAAGTTGTAAAATATGTGAGTAGTATTGAAAATTTGTAAAACTTGATGTGAGAGAGTATTTTGAGAATATTCTTTTGAGTTTAAGAATGAGTTTTTCAGTTGAAGAAAAATTACTGTTTGATACAACAGTTACTGCAAAATGAGTTTAAGAATGAGTTTTTCGATTGGAGATGACCTTAACTATTGGTACTCCGCGCATTATTAGTATTAGCAATATATTTAAGCCAGTGGTTGAGTGTATTGATGATGTAACAAATTCAGACTAATAAAAGCATGGAAAACTACTGTTAAAATGAAAATGTAGCTAGAGTTTACTGAAGCCTGCAGCAGCTCAGAGTACATTATATATACACAGACACACGCGCACCAAAAAAGGCGAAAAACCCGAGCCTTATGTACAAAAATGTAAAGGGCTATGCTTCAGATTCTCAATACTCGAGTGTCTAACTTCGAGTTTTAATCAAAATGAGAGGTTTGCTTACAGACACGTGAGAGTTCATGTGGAAGAAAATCGAATGCAAGTGGTCTTTCAGCTAGAGACGTGTGACTCGTGTAAATTACATTGGTTTTGTACTTGTTGATTAGAAGGCCAACGCATGCGCTCGGGAGGACAAGGCACTGGAGCTTGTTTTGCTATAAAAGTCGGGACTTTATTGCCAGGCATCACCACTGATACTTCTCTTGCATTGGCTGATACCTGAGTTAACGGAACGAAAAAAACAACAATAATAATAATTAAGCTAGTAAGCGAATCGTTACAGTGTACGGTAAAAAGCGACTTGCTATTTTTCGACAGTCTATGTCCACTTGAGTACAGAACAAATGATTTAATAGATCGTTTATATTGTTGACGGACTGCCTAAACATTACTTAGCCTTCGATTTTTCAATCGATTTACATACTTTTATTAACTCAAATGTATAACATAAAAAAATTGCTTCACCAAAACCATCCTAAAAATTATTGAAGTGTGTAATGCAAACAAAGAAGAATATTAAACAAGTTTTTTAAAAGCTATGATCCACTTACAAGTAACCTAGCTGTATGAATTATTGAAAAATACAAACAAAAACAATAACAAACTAAACAGGAAAACAATGAATTTTTTCCAGTGTTGGCAGCCTGTCTCCAGACAAAGGGTTTTGCCACGCGAGGAATCATAAATACTGGTGTTTATGGGCCAAAAGGAGATTATGCAAAAATAGTGGGGCTGAGCTCAAGCGTGAGAACCGTAAGAACCGCTATTTTTTATTATACGTAGTGCTATGATTGATTGTGTTTTAATGCTATTTAATTAAAAATAGCAACACAATGTATATAGCATTTATGAAAATAATAACACCATAAAATATTAAAAATAGCATCAAATACGGTTCTCACGGTTCTCACTCCAAGATTAGTTTTTATTTGAACCAACCCCTATATATATATTTTTTTTTTTATTGGCAGCAACTTCAATTCTCATTAATGGAATTGTGGGGACCAATAAACCAACTCAAAAGGGTTTCATATAATGGGCCACTATTCCAAATATCCTATATTAGGATGATGCTCAAGTGCAGCAATCCCAGGAACATGCACATGGATTTATTCATAAAGAATACAAAAAACTATGCTTATAAAAAAAAAAAAAATGGGATTAGCTAATTTATAGTTCTTTTTAATAAAAAAAACCATCTTTTTGACCTTCCTGTTAGTGCATTGTTATATCTAAAGTTAGAATTAATAACTAGTGAGAGTGTGGTGGTGCTGCAGAGCATTTATTTATTTATTTATTTATTTATTTATTTATTTTTTTTTTTTGCAGCATTAAAGAAGCATAATAGGTCAATATTCTCTGCAATTTTGCAGCAAAACTGACTGTAAATAATTAAGAATGATTTTCAACTTAGCTTCCTAAAAATATTGTTCTAAGTCTACAAATTTCTTTGTTAAGGCATCCACAGACCACAATTGGATAGATAAAACCAAGTAAAAATAGACAAAGCCCATTGAAAAGAACAAAAAAATGAGAGTATATTTGGGATAAAAAACTGAAAAATCAAGAACTGAGGTCACAAAATAGAACAAAAAATAAGATGATTGTGTAAAAAATGGGGTGAAAAAGAAAATCAGGGCTTTGTCAAAAAAAAAAAAGGG